AATGACTAATTTCATTTCTAAACATGAAAATAAATTGAGGGCTACACAGAACTCACCATTGAACTTTGTTAAGGTTGACATGCTAATGTGCAACTCCTACAGGATTGAAAATTCATAAAGCTCTGTCTATCCACACAACTACCCAATTTTATTGAGGCTGGGGAAAGAAGTTACACATAAGCCAGTTTAAGTGATCACAAACTGGTTTAAACCTGTAACAGAACAGAAATTCAGTATACATAAACCAGTTTCAAAATGGCTGAAATTGGTTTAAGATGAACCTGGTTGAATGTAGTATTACACTTAACTAATTTGGGTCAAACCAGTTTATGAAACTTCTGTCCCAGATCCATTCCTGGTTCAAGTTAAATCACAGTCCCCCAGCATGCTTTTCAGCCCTGTGCTGTGCTGTCTGTTCCAGCAGAGAAGGGGTGGGGGAGGAGGGAGGGACTCCTTCCCCTGCCAAACCCTAACTGTGGTCTAGGGCCAGGGAGGAGGGCTAAACCTACCTTCCCCTGAGTAGAGAGCTGCCTTGTTGCTAAATTTGCTGAAATTTCTACTGGATGCAACTGTGGATTACAAATCCTAGAGCCACCTGAAAGAGGAAGTGATTAACAACACTGGAGAGTTGTGTTACTGTGATTCTGGACTACAAATCCCAGAGACCTTGGGGACAGCAGAAAGAGGAAGCAAACACACAGCCCATGCTGGCTATGGTCCAGAGAGGCATGCTCCACTGCCCCCTGGTTTCTGGCCTGAGCCACTGCAGGCTGATTACAGGGAGATCAAGGCCTTTTGAAAGTGAGGAGGGTCAGTCTCATCTTCCTTGTGTGGGAAGAATGCAGGAGTTAGAAAAATTATAATGTGCCATTAATCTAATATCAGGGATGGCACCCACAAACCAGTATATACATAAAACTCACAGACTGTACCTGTGTTCACAAGATCAGCAGTCATCCCAAGCACACCAAACAAGCTGTTATCTACAACCAACCTTCCAATACCACTGCATCTGCTTTGAGAACACTTGATGCTCACTTGACCAGCCTAAAATCTGCCTTTATACAACAAGGACACTCCAGTAGAGAAATAAACCATATATTTGATAGAGCTACTCAAATACCCTGTACTAGCCTGCTACAATACAAAAAGAAAACTCTCTGTGCCTGCATCCCATTTGTGGTTACCTGCCACCCCACACTGGAACTGATCAGAAGAATCACCAAACAGTTGCAGCTTATACTCAACAAAGATCAGATATTGAGAGAAATATTCCCAGACTCTCTGTTTCTAGTTCTCAAACAGCCCTCTAATCTTGCCTAACTCATCATTGAGGATCAGGTTTTTCCATTGCCTATTTTCTGTGGAAAATCACAGTTTTTTTTTTTTCCTTTAAAGGAGAAGGGAGAAAAGCTTTAAAGCAAGAAACCAGGGGGGGAGAACTGATGTGGGGGAGGCGGGGTGGAGGCTTAGAACAGGAGAGTAAAGACATGAGGGGATCCTATGGCACAGGGGGGAGGGGAAGGAGCCAGATTAGCAGGAAACAATGTAGAGAGGGCACTGGTAGGCTTCCAAATTGCTTTAAAATTTTAACTATGTTTATAAAATGGTGTTTGACTGATACCTATATATATATATATAGTAGCATTTCATTTTAACTGTGATAAAATATGGATTTTGGAGGTTTTTATCAAAGAATTTTGTGAGGTTTTTTTTTTTTATTACAGAATTTTGGATTTCTTAACAGAGAAAACCAGGATTCCTGTGTATCAGAGGCAAACTCTCTCCTACCTAACAGACCTCAAGTGAAATGCAGACTTGTCTTGGCAATAAATGCCTAATCTGTTACCATACCTCTCCTGCCACTACTATCAATACCCCCACCCAGATCTGTCCCCTGGGTGGGGAAGGGTGGGGAATCAGAGCAACTGCCCTGTGCCCTGTGCTTTGGGGGTCCCATGGACAGTGTCATACAGGCCCCGAGGGTGCCACCACTCCACGTGGCCCCTTCATACCACCGGCTTCGTACTCTGGCTGCTCACCAACCCCTCCCTCCCCTACACAGGCTGATATGCCCTGGGCCCCATGCACCCCTAGGCTTCACTCTGCCTCCCCCCAATAAAAAAATTCCATCAGAATCCTTGATTCCTACATGTATTTGTCCCAAAATGTGATATAACTAGGGCCCTACCGAATTCACAGTGGAAGTGGGTTGTGAGGTGCCTCCTTTAATCTTGCAGATTCCCCTACATGCCCCCTTCCCACACTGTTGCTGATTGGCTGAGTGGCCCTGGTGGCCCTGCTGGTTGTTGTCAACAAGCTGGGGGGTAAAAACAATGCCATATTTAAAGCTGGAGTTTTTGTCTCCCTGCCAATCGGGAGCAAGTAGTGGGACCCCTCTGCCAATGCAGGGGAACCTGCAAGATTAAAGGAGCTGCCCTGCAGCCCACTTCTGCCATGAATATGGTAGGCCCATGGGTAGACCTGAACCAATGCAACAATTGCTTTCATGACAATTATGTGAGTGAAACTGAAATTAAACAACAATTGCACACCAGAATGTACTCTCACAAAAAAAATATAAAGCATGGGCATGCACACGCGCATGCACACAAGTATATACCCCTCCCCATTAGGAGCACAATTTTCACAAAACAACCACTCCCTCTCTGACCTTGTGCTCAAGGGAAATGTACCCAACACCTTTAAAAGGTGAACTTGGGTACAGCAATTTATTAGGTGGCTGGACACTAAGAACCAAGGACTAAACATAGATATCAGGTTTATGGCACATTATAATTTATTCAGCTCCTGAATTCAGTATCATTCTAGTACTAATGTAACATAGAATCATAGAAGTAGGGTCGGAAGGGACCTTGTAGATCTTCAAGCCCACCCCCACCCCCCGCCTGGGCGGGAGAAAAGACTGGACTCAAATGAGTCCAGCCAGGTAGTCATCAAGCCACTTCTTAAAGATCCCCAGGGTAGGAGCCAGCACCACTTCCCTTGGAAGTTGGTTCCAGCTCCTAGCCGCCCTAACTATGAAGTAGTTCTTGTGGATGTCTAATCTAAACCTACTCTCCAGTAATTTGTGTCCATTGTTCCTTGTCATGTCAGGGGGTGCCAGGGGAAACAGTGTCTTCCCCCAAACCCTTCTGGTCCCCCCTAGTGAGTTTATAGACAGTCACCAGGTCTCCCCTCAGCCTTCTCTTGTGAAGGCTGAACAGGTTTAGGTCCTGCAGTCTTTCAATGCAGGGTCTGCTCTGTTGTCTCCGGATCATGTGGGTGGCCCTCCTCTGGACATCTTTCATGTGATGCAAGTTCAACTGTTTTAGTGAGCCATTATTTGTTTTCGAAGTTTCTTACTATTGTGTTTTGTTTTTTTTTATTGGAGCACAAACTCTGTAGAGTAAGATGGAAAACTGCTACCACAAGCATGGTTTCTGCTATAGCAGTTACAATTATGTTTACTTTGGGTCACAGTGTAATTCAGCATGTCACATTACATTAATTTAATTTTGTATTAGTACACCTTAACACATTTTAGTAAGGGTATTGATTATCCTCCCCATTTTACACATGTAAAACCTGAGGCACCAGAATGAAATGTTTTATAGAATTAAGAATAATATCATCTGGCCCTTAAATAGTGCATTCTATCAATAGATCTCAAAGCACTTTGAGAGAGAGCTCTTATCCCCAGTTCACATTTTAGTAAAACTTTAGGCGTTGAACCTCTTTCACATTGCCCGACTTAGTAGGTCACATTCCCTTGTGAAATAAATCAACAAAAGCTGTGGGTTGAGAACACATTCTATTTTTTTCAACATTGCCCTGAAAAGAAATTTCAAATGAGATTTCTTTTTTAAATCTTTAAAAGTTTATCTTTTTGGTGTTTATATTGTAGTGCAAATGTTTGATTGAAATAGTTGTATAATTTTTTAATGATGCTCCGCACATTTTTGTGCATACCATCTAGCACTGCTATTTAAGAGATGGTGAGCGTGCTACAACACTTAGGATTGTGCAGGACCCTGCTTATGGGTTTTCTGCTTTTGTTTGTTTATGAAGCCTTGGACACTCAGGGTATGGGACTAAATTGACTATTAATTTGTTTTGATGCAGTGATTGCCATTTTTTTTTTTTGCTCTTACAGCTCCAGCACCTTAACTTTTTACTCATATATATATTTATCTTTTTTTTTTCATAGCCAAATGTGGCACAAGTCCTTCCTGAGCCCACAAGTTATTGTCTTTCCAGTACTATGAAATAAGGCTTGCTCTCAGAATAGACCACATTTTGGTATCATTTCTTCTCTCATCCATCAACCCTGTGGCTAAGTAAAGTTGCATATTATGTCCTCCAGAATCTATTGCAGCTATTAATCCAGAGGACTGCTGTAGGATGACCTGGCATACCACTGTTATACAAGAGCTGAGCAGACTGTAATACTACTAACATTGTGGAGAGGAAGGTTACAATCTAGTTTATTTCTACTTGCTGAGAGGCAGGCAGTAAATCTGGGATTAGAAATTGAACATATGCCTGGCAGTACAAGTATTGTTTTATCAAGCCAGCTTCTGTATGATGCCTTAGGGCAGGGTTCAGCCATGTTTCAAAGCTGGGAAAGGCAGGGGTGCTGCTTTATCAGACTTTAGCTCCAAGTGCAGGCCTCTTCCAACCTGGCCTGCACCTCAGTTATCACCCTCTCCTCCTCACCACGTGGCAGCTCTGCCACCACTACTGCTTCTCACTGCCAAAATGCCACAGAAAGTCCCCTGGCTCTGCAGGCTGGATCTGACCCACAGGTTGCTGACCCCTGCTTTAGAGCAGACAACACCCTGTCCTTCAAAACAATATAGGCAATAGAAAAAGGGTTTTTTTCTTGCTAAATTCAATGTTTCAGTATGTTGTACTGTTAGTGTACATTGATGAATTCTATGGATTTTGTGCTGATATAAAATTTACCCTGGTCATAGTGTGATTTTTCTCCTCTTTAGTATAATGCTTCGCCACAGCAGCAAAGAGAAATAATTAAGAGTAGGAGTCTGGACAGGAGGCTACAAGAGCCAATAGTTTTAACAAAGTGGAGGCACAGCACAATTGTATTGGACACCAATGATAAGGTAGGAGTGAGCAAAAGAGCATGATAAAATGAATGACTATTTTCTGGTTTTTGAAACATATGAAATACACTGATTTCTAAAGGATTTATTTGGTGATTTTTTTTTTCCCCTTTTATGTTGTATATCATATACTGAGTATATATTTTCAGTAAAACCATGGGTAATTTCTTAACCTGTTATCTTTTATTTTTAATCCAAATCTATTTTCTTACATTCACTGATTTATACTTTTTACTCAGAACTGTTTCCTTAAATC